CTCACCTACTCACTCACCCACTCACTCACCTACTCACTCACCCACTCACTCACCTACTCACTTACCCACTCACTCACCCACTTACTCACCTACTCACTCACCCACTCACTTACTCATCCACCCACTCACTCATCCACCCACTCACTCACCCACTCACTCACCCACTCACTCACCCACTCACTCATCCACCCACTAATCCACCCACTAATCCACCCACTCACTCACCCACTCATCCACCCAGTCATCCACCTACTCACTCACCCACTCACTCACTCACCCACTCACTCACCCACTCACTCACCCACTCACTCACCCATCCACCCACTCATCCACCCACTCATCCACCCACTCACCCACTCACCCACTCACTCACCCACTCACTCACCCACTCACTCACCTATGAAGGTCGGAACGGCACACGAGGGGGTCGGTGGGCAACACCACGCCAGCCTGGCCGCCTTTGTCTCCCCAAGTGGCGATGTTTACACACAGCCCCAGGTACTCATTTCAGGCTGAGTCTACCTAGGAAAGACCCAAGACCCGTTCCAAAATAAGCGTCAATCATGGGGTTGACTGGCGAGCTGGAATCGAACTCGGGTCGCCAGGTTCGTAGCGCAGAACGCTAACCGCTGCACTACAGCTCCCCATATACTTCCATACACAACAGACTGTTGATGCAAGTGCTGTTAGTGAGCACCTATAACAGCCACAACAATCGTAGTTCGCCACGAAGTGACGGTGAGGTCACCACGACGCTTGTGCCAGGCTAGGTGCACTTTGACGCTGCTGGCTGGAAGCCATGGGACAGACCTAGGTGCCATGCCTTGGTCGATTAAGATGACTGGCAAATGCATCAGCTGTACTCTTCACTGTGCCAACTCGCTGCGTTTTAACCGCCCGGTGCTCCGCTCGTTGTTGTGAGCGTCTCTCCTCGGCCCTCCGCTGTTACTGGAGGGCGACTGCCTCCAACTGCCCAGTAGCAGCAGCGTCCTTCACGAGCCTCCCTCTCCACAGAGTTCGATCTTGACACCGCTGGTACCAATCATCGGCAAAGTCCACTCAGCTCCACATCCTCCTCATGTATCGCGTTAAGGCGCCCCGATAACTAGGAGATGTTAACTCCCTCCCCTGGTACGCAGGAGGTCGTGGGTTCCATCCCGACCCTGACGCCTGCTGCTGTATATTTGGAGTTGGCGTCTCTCGTCATCATCACGGTGGCTAGGAGATGTTAACTACCTCGCCTGGTATGCAGGAGGTCGTGGGTTCCATCCCGACCCTGACTCCTGTTATATATTTGGAGTTTGCGTCTCTCATCATCATCATCACGGTGGCTAGGAGATGTTAACTAACTCGCCTGGTACACTGGAGGTCGTGGGTTCGATCCTGACCCTGACGCCTGCTGCTGTATATTTGGAGTTTGCGTCTCTCATCATCATCACGGTGGCTAGGAGATGTTAACTCCCTCCGCTGGTACGCAGGAGGTCGTGGGTTCCATCCCGACCCTGACGCCTGTTGTATATTTGGAGTTTGCGTCTCTCGTCATCATCACGGTGGCTAGATGTTAACTACCTCGCCTGGTATGCAGGAGGTCGTGGGCTCAATCCCGACCCTGACTCCTGTTATATATTTGGAGTTTGCGTCTCTCATCATCATCACGGTGGCTAGGAGATGTTAACTACCTCGCCTGGTACACAGGAGGTCGTGGGTTCGATCCCGACCCTGATGCCTGCTGCTGTATATTTGGAGTTTGCGTCTCTCATCATCATCACGGTGGTTAGGAGATGTTAACTACCTCGCCTGGTATACAGGAGGTCATGGGTTCGATCCCGACCCTGACGCCTGCTGCTGTATATTTGGAGTTTGCGTGTCGTCTCTCCCCGTGGCCACGTGGATTTTTGTTTCCGGGTCCTCCGGGTTTTCCCTCGACATTTAGAATAAACAACGCGCGTTTAGAGTCTTTGGCTGCTGCTATAAATGTCCACATGATGACGAATAGCCACTTTCATCTAGAATTGAAACTTTCGTGACTGTAGAAATTACTATACTCATTGGTTATTTCGGTAAAGTCACGTGTGTAGAAATGCAATCAAATTGATTAGCCACATTGTTGATCTATCATTTGTGGCAAGGTCGCTTTCTTAAAAATAGCAACACAGCTCAGTGAAACATAACAGGCGACGTTTCGGGTAATGGCCCTTATTCCCAGCACATCCAGAGGCTAGAGAGGTAGAATGGCCGCCTTTCGATGTGCTGTGATAAAGGACTGCTGCTAGAAATGTCGCCTCTTTGAAATAATATTATAATACTCAAATAGAGGGACTCATCTACTGACGAACGAGTTAGTTTCCAGTGTTCTGTTCGTAAGTAAGTCCAACTTTACTCCTGTCGTTGCCAAACGTGTTGTACGGCGTGTACACTAACCACGGCTTTAAAAGTTGAATCATCTCCTGTAGATGTAGATTCCACTGGTTCTTCACGTCCTGCAGATGTAGATGCCACTGGTTCTTCACGTTCTGCAGATGCAGATGCCACTGGTTCTTCACGTTCTGCAGATGCCACTGGTTCTTCCCGTTCTGCAGATGTACTGTAGATGCCACTGGTTCTTCACGTTCTGCAGATGTAGATGCCACTCGTTCTTCACGTTCTGCAGATGTAGATGCAACTGGTTCTTCACGTTCTGCAGATGTAGATGCCACTGGTTCTTAACGTTCTGCAGATGTAGATGCCACTGGTTCTTTGTGTTCTGCAGATGTAGATGCCACTGGTTCTTCACGTTCTGCAGATGTTGATGTCACTGGTTCTTTACGTTCTGCAGATGCAGATGCCACTGGTTCTTCACCTTCTGCAGATGTAGATTCCACTCGTTCTTCACGTTCTGCAGATATAGATGCCACTGGTTCTTCACGTTCTGCAGATGTAGATGCCACTGGTTCTTCCCGTTCTGCAGATGCAGATGCCACTGGTTCTTCACGTTCTGCAGATGCAGATGCCACTGGTTTTTCCCGTTCTGCAGATGTACTGTAGATGCCACTGGTTCTTCACGTTCTGCAGATGTAGATGCCATTCGTTCTTCACGTTCTGCAGATGTAGATGCCACTGGTTCTTCACGTTCTGCAGATGTAGATGCCATTCGTTCTTCACGTTCTGCAGATGTAGATGTCACTGGTTCTTCACGTTCTGCAGATGTAGATGTCACTGGTTCTTCACGTTCTGCAGATGTAGATGCCACTGGTTCTTCACGTTCTGCAGATGCAGATGCCACTGGTTTTTCCCGTTCTGCAGATGTACTGTAGATGCCACTGGTTCTTCACGTTCTGCAGATGTAGATGCCACTGGTTCTTCCCGTTCTGCAGATGCAGATGCCACTGGTTCTTCACGTTCTGCAGATGTAAATGCCACTGGTTCTTTACGTTCTGCAGATGTAGATGTCACTGGTTTTTTACGTTCTGCAGATGCCACTTGTTCTTCACCTTCTGCAGATGTAGATGCCACTCGTTCTTCACGTTCTGCAGATGTAGATGCCACTGGTTCTTCACGTTCTGCAGATGTAGATGCCACTGGTTCTTCACGTTCTGCAGATGCAGATGCATCTGGTTCTTCACGTTCTGCAGATGTAAATGCCGCTGGTTCTTCACGTTCTGCAGATGTAGATGCTACTGGTTTTTCGTGTACTGCAGATGTAGATGCCACTGGTTCTTCCCGTTCTGCAGATGTCGATGCCACTGGTTCTTCACCTTCTGCAGATGTAAATGCCGCTGGTTCTTCACGTTCTGCAGATGTAGATGCTACTGGTTTTTCGTGTACTGCAGATGTAGATGCCACTGGTTCTTCACGTTCTGCAGATGCAGATGCCACTGGTTCTTCACGTTTTGCAGATATAGATGCCACTGGTTCTTCACGTTCTGCAGATGTAGATGCCATTGGTTCTTCACGTTTTGCAGATGTAGATGCCACTGGTTCTTTACATTCTGCAGATGTAGATGTCACTGGTTCTTCACGCTCTGCAGATACAGATGCCACTGGTTCTTCACCTTCTGCAGATGTAGATGCCACTGGTTCTTCACGTTCTGCAGATGTAGATGCCACTGGTTCTTCGTGTTCTGCAGATGTAGATGCCACTGGTTCTTCACGTTCTGCAGATGTAGATGCCACTGGTTCTTCACTTTCTGCAGATGTAGATGCCACTGGTTCTTCGTGTTCTGCAGATGTAGATGCCACTGGTTCTTCACGTTCTGCAGATGTAGATGCCACTGGTTCTTCACGTTCTGCAGATCTAGATGCCACTGGTTCTTCACGTTCTGCAGATGTAGACGCCACTGTTTCTTCATGATCTGCAGATGTAGATGCCACTGGTTCTTCATGATCTGCAGATTTAGAAGCTTATTCTCTTTGGCTCTCGTGTTTCCTTTCTCCTCTCTTGAAATACCAAACCCAGAGGTGTGTGCACAGTTGCTCGCTTCTTCCATTCATAAATCAAGTCGTGACGGGCAATAGCATCGTGGACAGATGCAAATGGACATAGGGCCAGGTTTTGTTCGTATCTCTGAAAGTTCTTAAGTCGTATGCTCGTAAGTAGAGGTGGTCCCTGTATCTGCATATAGAATATTTGATCTTTTGTGAGGCCACACAGAGTTTGTGAAGTCTATGTAGAATTTTGTTTGCAGTAATTAACTGTTCATGTGCCAAAGCAGCATCGTCGCCCAGACGATTTGTATCACTCTTTGGTTTCTTTCGGTAAAGTCGCGCAGAAAATAAAATAATAGAATACACCAAAACGGTGTGTGTCTCACTCGGTGTGTCTTTGTGTGTCTCTCTCTGCATGCTGTACCCGTGTCTGTGTTTTATCATTCATTATTACCTGATGATGGCTGCTTGCGTTGCAACCGAAACGTCGTATTCTATTAATATTTGATTTTATTTTCTACGTGACTTTACCGAAAGAACCAAAGAGTAATGCCTGCAGTCACGAAAGCTTCGAATCTACTTTGATTTGTATCACGTTTAACACGTGGTAGTCGGCTTTCGCCACCAATATTATCCATCAGAGGTTTTTTTTTTGCGTGGAAAAAAAACTCCGAATCAAGCGGACGAAGGCTGATGTCTTCGCCAGCCTTCATGAAATGATGCAGGGATTAAAAAGAAAATCGCGACCTATTGTGGATTTGTTGAAAAAGCAAGATCGTAATCGTGGCGTGCTCGTTCGCTGGTTGTACGTGGGAGCGGCAGGGCTTTCGAACGGTGCGTTTATGTAAAGACGGTATCACGTATCAGGGGCCCTCGTTATAATGGCATTATAGCCCTGATAATAACCCCTATTAGGGCAATGAATGGGCGTGTTTATTCCCCATCGAGGGGCTGCATCACGCCCGATTAGCGATGCCCTGCGACGCGCAGGGGCGTGGGGAGGGGAGGATTAATATTTCAAGTCGGTTGGGATTTGCTCGTCGATGTGATGGGGAGAAGGAGGGAGGGGAGGGGAGGGCAGGAGGAGTGTGATGGTGGTGGTGGGTGTGTGGTTAAGTCCACGGTTGACACAAAACACTCTTTGTGGATGCACGCACGCACGCACGTGGATATACATACACGTGGACACACACACACACACACGTGGACATACACACACACACATACACACGCACGCGCGCGCAAACATAACCTCACCATCCACACCCCCCATACACATGCAGGTCCATATATAAGTGGAGCGAACTTTTATTTCAACTTGTGGAAGTAATCGGGAGTCTTGGGCTGCAATACGCATTGACATAACGATATCACTCTGCACGCGTGCCGCCATACAAGCCACGACCATTGCCACCGGCCGTACGAAGCGAATTTTGAAAAAAACAAAAACCATCGCGCAAAATTTATCGTTATTTTCCCTGGCCACTGCGCCCGCCTTGGACGATGTTCCCCGTGGCCCTGGCCTCCGGCCAATGTCACCGCCACGGCCAAGCCCACGAGCGGCCAGTGGCCTCGCGGGCCAAGACGACGGAGCCGTCCCGCCCCTACAGCTTCCTCATCGCCGACCTGCTCGGCCATGGGGTGGCCACGGTGGCCGACGCGACGCGACAGGGACCGGCGTCGGGACAAGGGGCGGAGATGGGATCGGTGTCCGGCGAGGCTCGCCCCGTGGTGCCGGGGGCGGTGCTGGCGGTGGACAATCCGGTGGTCACGGGCCGTGGGGTGACCACGGTTGGGCCCCCGGGAGCTGGGGACTCGCCGCCGTCGCGGCTGGCGTTTGGGGTCGATGCCATTCTGTCCCGCGTGGAGCGGCCTTCAGGTGATCGTCTCACCTGTACACCACGTGACTCGCCACCCATCATCTCACCTGGTACCCAATCTCACCTGCCACCCATCATCTCACCTGCCACCCATCATCTCACCTGCCACCCATCATCTCACCTGGACGCCATCTCACCTGCCACCCATCATCTCACCTGTACGTCATCTCACCTGTATGCCATCTCACCTGCCACCCATCATCTCACCTGAACGCCATCTCACATGCCACCCATCATCTCACCTGGACGTCATCTCACCTGTACGCCATCTCACCTGCCACCCATCATCTCACCTGGACGTCATCTCACCTGTACGCCATCTCACCTGCCACCCATCATCTCACCTGTACTCCATCTCACCTGCCACCCATCATCTCACCTGTATGCCATCTCACCTGCCACCCATCATCTCACCTGGACGCCATCTCACCTGCCACCCATAATCTCACCTGGACGCCATCTCACCTGCCACCTATCATCTCACCTGGACTCCATCTCACCTGCCCAAATTAATGAATGTAATTTATATGGAATTCATGATTGAGTAGATTTGGTGCTTGAATGAGTGGCTTAATTAATGCGCGGGGGGCTCTATAATTACTGGGGGGGAAATGGAGTGAGTTCATTAATAATTGAGTTGGTGTATGAATTATCCATTGAATGTATTGTGATTGGCTGAATGCATGGGATTATCTAATTAACGATTGAGCAACTGAATGAACTGAGCGACTAAATTAATTACTGATCGGCCGAGTGAGCCATTAAGTAAAGAGAGGCAATGTAAGCAAGGAGCGACTCACTCAGCCGATGGGTTAATGAGTCGGCGAATATGTGAATGAGTAGACGATTGAATGAGTGAATGAATCGGTGAGTGAATACATTATTGAATAAACGACCGAATTCACGCGTGAATGGATGAACGAACACGCAACTGAATAGTCGAGTGGCCGCATGGGAACGGGTGAAAATATTGAATCGACGAGTGAACTCAGTGAATGCACGAATGAGTGAACGTGTGAATGAATGGGTGGATAGGTGGCTCATTCGAGACGTGTCCACCCACGCTGCCGGGCCCCACAGATTCACACTCGCCCTGGAGGGAGCGCTTTGACCCCTTGACCCCGCGTCACTCCAACCCCACCGTGCTGCCTCTGTACCTGGAGGGAGCCTTCTACCCCATCCTGGGCTGCCCCCTTCCACCAGGTGAGAACCCTCACTCACCAGGTGAGCACCCTCACTCACCAGGTGAGCACCCTCACTCACCAGGTGAGCACCCTACCCCACCCTCACTCACCAGGTGAGCACCCTCACTCACCAGGTGAGCACCCTCACTCACCAGGTGAGCACCCTGACTTGCCGTCACTCACCAGGTGAGCACCCTACCCCAAACTCACTCACCAGGTGAGCACCCTACCCCACCCTCACTCACCACACTCAATCTCACCCACTACCCATCGTCTCACCTGTACACTCAATCTCACCCACTACCCATCGTCTCACCTGGCACTCAATCTCACACACCATCTCACCCACTATTCACCATCTCACCTGTCAACCATCAGCTCACCCAATACCCACCATCTCACCTTACACTCAATCTCACAACGCCACCCATCATCTCACCTGCACACTCAATTTAACACACCACCCATCATCTCACACACCACCTCCCATCTCACCTGCACACTCAATCTCACAACACCACCCACCATCTCACACACCACCCACCATCTCACCTGTACACTCAATCTCGCAACACCACCCACCATCTCACACACCATCTCACCTGTACACTCAATCTCGCAACACCACCCACCATCTCACACACCACCCACCATCTCACCTGTACACTCAATCTCACAACACCACCCATCAGGCCCCCTTGGGGGACCTCCGCTTAAACGTAACCCACCCCCGATGGTGACCTCCTTCCCCGTCTTCCCTCTCTCCCTTCTCTCGTTGACGCTGCGCGGCAGTGCCGTGCCCCTGGGCCGTGCTGGCCCGCGCCAGGCCCCGGCGCTCCATGCCCAAGCGTGCCGTCTTCTCGGAGGAGCAGAGGCGTGGCCTGGAGAGGGCCTTCCGCCGGCAGCGCTACATCGCTCGGCCTGAGAGGCGCCGCCTTGCGGCCCGCCTGGGCCTCCGCGACGCTCAGGTGGGGCCTCTTTTCTGGGGGGGGGGAAAAGTGGTGGGGAAGCCTCACCCTGCAGGTGAGCCTGACCCTGCAGGTGCGCTTGCTCCACGGTGGAAAAATCAGCCAAACCTTTCCCGATCTCCATTGGCTATTCAAAAGGGCCTATTTATTCAACCAACTTTCACTTACCCTCAACAGAAATCCATTAAAGTGCCCTCCCAAGACCCCCAGCCCATTGTACGAATTATACGGCAATATCCCTCGTCTCGAGTCGGCCTAAGGGGTTAAGATCGTTTACGATACAAAAGGAAATTGCGATTGAATTTGATAGCAGATTCGATGGTGGAGAGCCCATTGGAGCTCACTTTAACAGGTCTCTTATCACAGCGGTGGTGGTGGTGGAGATAGTCCAATGGAGCTCACTGTAACAGGTCTCTTATCACAGTGGTAGTGGAGACAGCAGCTAGGCCAGAGAGGAGCCGGCCCTACCAACAAGTTCCCAAGCTCTGCGGTCCTCTATTTGTCGAGATGTTTTGAGGCCGACGTGATGAGTTTTTATCTGTTTTACTTGTTGGAGGAACACCCGGAGAAAACCAACGCATGCGAGGGGGGGGCGACACATCTCTCCACAGCGCTGCACCACAGGCAGCCCACGTGCAGCAGTAGCAGCAGCAGCAGCGTAGCCACCAACCCCCCCCCTCGCTGCCGCCACCACCGTTGGCTTACACCAGCGGCGTAGAGGGTGGCAGGGCGACGCAGCCGCACCGGTTGGGGGGGGGGGGAGGGGGGGCCCACGGCACACGCCGCCGACTTGGGACGCTTCAACTCCGTGCTGGTCGCATTTCGCGATAAAGAAAAAAATGACGACGACGATGAACGGACCGGACGTTCGCTCGCCGGGCCGAGCCGGGCTCTCCTCCGGTGTGGTGTTTTTCGGGGTTGTCCCGACGTTTCGCCTCCGCGTCGCCTGGGGGAGCTTCGTCAGGGGAGGGAAAATTCAGCCGAGGTGGAAATTTTTTGTTTAAAAGTAACTAATATAATGTGGGCCCGGGCGTTTTTTTGCTCCCGGCACGTGGGAGCGGGGAAACGCCGGGGGGGCGTCGCCGTGCCAAGGACCGCACGGCGCAGCACGACTCAACCACGCGGCCTTACGTTCTCAGAGGAGGAAAAAGTGCAGAAGAAAAGCCTCTCGATATTTATCTCCCTCCCTCCCTCCCCTTGCCTCTCTCTCTCGCCTTGCCACAGGTGAAGATCTGGTTTCAAAACCGCCGGATGAAATGGCGCAACTCGAGGGAGCGAGAGCTGCTCAGCACCGCCGGGGGCGGCTCGGACGATGGGGATTTCTGCATGGGCGTCGCGGAAACATCAGGAGGCGGCGGCGGAGAGGAGGAGAAGGAGGCAGCGAGCGGCTTCACCGACACGGAGAGGGCTCGCAACCGCTCCCCCCTCGCTCCGTGACGGAGCCGCGGAGGACGGCAGGCGACGGACGGGCAGACGCGGTCGGGGAAAAACAAAGAAAGACGGAGAGCGGAGGGAAGGCGCCTCCCGCGGCGACGGCCAGGGATCCCCCTCGCGTGCGACCCAC